AAGGCGCAGTACAGGCAGGCCGTGGTGGCAACAACACACTCTCACCGAACACCATGAACACGTTCCAGCGCCTACTGTCTCAGCGTGTTCAACTGCCAAACACCCAGGCCCACGTCACTAACAGCAGTAAGTCTCTCTCCAGGTAAGTTTGCTTTATAATATTCCCAGATGTCCAAACCTTTAAAACGAGGTATCCTCTAGTATTTTTCTGTAAAGGCCAACAATGCACAGAAACATGGAAATTTCTGAATCCATGGAGATTTTTTTGACATAGTGATTAAGGCACTGGACTTCCACATGGTCGACCACAGTTTCAGTCCCCGACCCAGCATCTTGAAACTCAGGCTGGGTGTGTGTGCATGCAAGACAACCCAAAATCCCAAGAAGAGAATGGAAAAGGGACTGTAGTGTGGCTATCTCCCCAAGGCGTAATTTCTCACTTTCTGTCTCTCTGTCTCCAGCGAGCACACACACCCTATAGCAAAAATCTCTTTAAAAAAAAAAAAAATTCCCAAGATGTAGTAAAGTGGCAATAGTATGGTAAAGTGAATGTGCAGTACTTTTTTTTTTTTTTAATTTGCTATAGGGCATGTGCACTCATTGGAGAGAGGAGAAGGAGAGAGAGGGAGATGGTGGGGGGAAGCACCCCCCCCCCCCGAGGGATGGCCAAACCATAACCCTTCTCCATTCTCCTCTCAAGATTCTGGACACTCATGCCTGCGCACCCAGCGCACTTTTCAAGCAGCCGTATCTGAGACTCACACCACAGCTGGCCATGTGGGATCCAGTCGCCTTAACTACCATGCCACCAGCTGGCCCAACAAAGCATTTCTTGTAACGTATGTCACAGTATGTAAATTACATCTTTTTTCTAAAGCTACAAAATTCTGAACACCATTGAAATACTGAATAACTACCATTTTAGATTACACATAATCTCAAATTTAATCATGTAGTAATATTACATACACGATCCTAACATAGTTGAAAAATACTATTTTTAAGAATATAGTAAATGGGAAAAAAGACTGAAAATTCACAACCACAATGTGAATTGGCTTTGTTATAGCTAGGAGACTAGCTCATAAACTACTTTTGCAACCAACAGAAAGTTGCACCAGAGTCCACCTGAAAATGCTAAGTAGGAAATACCAAAACCTAAGCAGTGAGGCTAGGAAAATGTCAGCTAAAAATAAGGAAAGGCTAAATGCAACCTGTGGTGTCCAGTTAGGTAATATATTATCTTCGATGATTTGGCGCTTCCACGTGGAAAGTAACTGTCAACCTCTCGAGCTGTTACAGTGGACGCAGGCTGCCCATAACAATCACATACTCATAAGAAAGGACCTCCCCTGACTTTCATTCTTCCTTTTCCTTTCTGATTACAGAACAAGACATTTCTATTTCTAACATGTCTTGTCTTGAAAAAATTTTCAAATATTCTTCTCCTTTCGTGTCTCTACCGGGATTCCTAAGTTACTGTTTTCTCCTGATCCTGTACTAGCACTTAATCCTCAAGAAACTACTCAATGGAATACTTACATCTATGAGATGCAACTGCCAATCTACTCATATTTTATGCCAACTTTATTTTAATCCGCTCAACTTGCTTTAGTCTCAAATATTAGGACAGAAAGATTTTACCTAGTTTTATTTACAGAAAGTCATCTAACTTAAGGCTGCTAAAGAGTAGTTTATTTATTTATTTATTTTTATAACCAAGAGCCTTCATCACATCACTATCAGAAGCTTCAGTCTCAGGGCTGGCAGGTGGTGTGGTGGTTAAGGTGCTGGACTCCCACGTGGCTGACTGCTGTTTGAGTCCCAGACCTGGCAGCATGCTTTTTCACTTTGCCTCTCTCTCTAGTCAAATTACAAAATAATAATAATAAATAAAGTTGAATAAATAATTCTTTTTTCTGGGGGGGAGAGGTTTTTGCTATAGGACGGGTGTGCTTGCAAGAAAGAGACACAGAGACAGAGAGCGAGAAATCACTCCCCAGGGAGGATGGCCAAGCCGCAATCCCTTCTCCTCCATTCTCCTCTTGGGGTCTTGGGTACACATGCACATGTGCCTAGCGTGAGTTTAAGCCACCGGGTCCAGGACTCAAACCATGGTCAACTACATGCGAGTCCAGTGACACAGCCATTATGCCAACTGCTGGTCCTGAATAAATAATTCTTTTAAAAAAAGGAAAAGAAGCTTCAATCTCTAAATTTTTGCCTTAAAAATTCTTAACAGTTTTTATTACTGCTTAAAAGACTCAATCTAGGGTAATGTGAATATACTTAAGAGTAAAAGGATGTAGTAGATAAATTCAGCTGAAGGATAACTGCTCACCTCTTCTGAACACAAAGCCATTACATTTTATTAAATAACATGCACATATGCGTACATAACATTTAATACAACAGTACAACCACTGAGAATCTCTAGTCATACTAGATCGTCTACAGGAAAAACAATCTGCAGAATCCAAAACGTTTTAATAGGAAATTCATGCCTCTACGATCTGTCCTCATGTCCTACCCTAGCTCATGAGTCACCTCATGATGTTCTCAGTGGTCAGGATTCTCTCAGTGTGTTCTGTTCTCGATGTCTCTATTTTCACTACTGTCTCTCTTCAGAACACCATGCCCTCTGATCGCCTCACGAGTCAGACTTTCACCATTCAGGTACATTCTACTCAGACTGCTTAAATGTCACCCTCTTCCCTCCTCTACACCACCCTCACCACTTCACTGACTGCTTCTTTCCGAGCACTTAGCTTAAATCATAGTTTACTTATTTGTATATTTACTTGTTCATTAACCATATTCCCCAATAGAACATAAAATGCATTAAGGCAGGGAGTTTTCCTCCCCACTATATGTTTAGGTGGAGAACAGTGCCTGGCAGTAGATGTTCAGAAATCATTTCTTGAACAAGCTGCTGGCCGAAGTCATTGGCAGGACAATGTACTGGATAAGAGTATATGCTGTAGTCTGAGAGAAGCCCAATTTCCCACCAGTGATGTGTAATTTCCTAGGAACTAAGAAGGTTTTGATAAGGAACTACAAATCCATGTGCCCCTATGCACTCCTTCTAACATGGAGCAAGTAAATGTGTCTTATTGTTTAGCTGCTATTAGTTTTCAAATGCATGTTAATGCTGTTGAAATGAGTAAAATAGAACGCATATTACCCATAAATGTTAATAATATAAATCAATTTTAAAGCACTGTGGAATCTGTCTTATCATCTTCATTGCTATAATCCTAATCTAAATTATCACTGTATCTGCATATGAAAAGTCTCTTGCTTGGTCTCTGCTTCAACCATTCTTGCCTTTCACAGCTACTAGAATGACATTTGTAAAGTATATTTAAGAGGGTGCAGGTGGCATGATGGTTGAGGGGCTGGATTCCACATGGTCGACTTCAAGATTTGAGTCCTGGACCTTGAGCCTTGAAAAACACATTGGGTACGTGTGCATGACATGCCTAAAATCCCAAGAGAATGGAGAAGAGATTGTGGCGTGGCCATCCCCCAATTCCCCCCAAGTGATTACATTAGTTCTTATGGCTCTGCCATGGTTCTGTATGACAGTTCAAACTGGACTCCTGATGAGCCCTCACTTAAACTGGTCCCTTGCAATATCTGAGAGGATATATCATCACCTTTGTACTGTTCTAGCCAGGACAGCATCATCTGACTGTCATGAGGAAACAAACAATCCAGGTTGAAGAGCAACAACCCAAGGAGGCCAGTATTTATCACCTGCATAAAAGACAGAGGCTGGGAAACTGCTGTGGGTTACAGAAAACTAGAGACATGACAAAAACCAGTATGCTACCCTGGATAATGGATTTGAAAGGACATTACAGGAACAACTGTCAAAATATGCACAGATTTAAGAATTAGATCAATGTTGAATCTCCAAAAATTATTTGGTGCACTGTCGTTACATAAAACAATTTTTCCTTAGGGAATATATTAGATATGTATATCTTATATATAGATATCTATATAGATATATAAACTATAGATATAGATATAGATATAGATATCTCTATATAAATATCTATATAAAATGGTTCAGGAAAAAAGGCTCTAATAGTAAATATTCCTTTTTTAAATACAGGTAAGCCTTAACTGAATTTTACCTCTGGCAATGGATATATTGAAAAATATTCTGACCTAGTAAACATGAGATAACACCATCATTTTGTTACTACAAAATGATGATAAATAACTATTTACAAAAATTATTATTACTGATTCACTGCCATGACCCTCCGGCCGACACCTTCCGAGCTGCTACAACTAAGGCTCACATCATTGGGCCTAGCCTGAAGTTTCCTCATTGAAAGCCGTATCAGGGACCAGCAGTTAGCATAATGGCTATGTCGCTGGGCTCCCATATAGTCAACCGTGGTTCGAGTCCCGGACCTGGTGGCTTAAACTCACGCCAGGTGCATGTGCATGAGTGCCCAAGATCCCGAGAGGAGAATGGAGGAGAAGGGACTGCGGTGTGGTCATCCCCTCGGGGGGTGATTTCTCACTTTCTATCTCTCTGTCTCTCTCGCAAACACACACGCCCTATAGCAAAAACCTCTCAAAAAAAAAAGAAAGCCGTTATCAATGTACTTTCCACTCAATTACAGCTGCCTTACATCTCTGATGATCACTATAGATTCTGTGGTATATTTAAATTATATCTACAAATGGAGGTTCCTCCCTTTAAAAGGTAGAACTTAATTTCCTTCCAATTAAATATGAGAGTTTTGGGGACTAGCAGGTGGCATGGTGATTAGGGCAGTAGACACTCCCACATGGCTGACCACAGTTTGAGTCCTGGACTTGGTGGCTTGCTTTCTCACTTTCCCTCCCTCCCTCCCTCCCTCTCTCCCTCCCTCCCTCTCTCTCTGTCAGTCTAGTCAAATTAAAATAAATGAATGAATAAAATTAAAATAATTATCTTAAAAAACAAATAAGTAAATAAATAAATATGAGAGTTTTTAAGTTGCCTTGCTTTAAGCAAATACAATGTAGCAAAAGTATCAAGTGTATCCTGTCTTGAGATTAGGACATGGGAGGGGGGAGAGGGGGAGAGGAGAGAGGGGAGAAGAGAAGAAAATAAAATGTTTGAGAGGTTTTTGCTATAGGGAGCATGCGCTCGCCAGAAAGACAGAGATAAAAGGTTAGAAATCATCCCCAGGAAAGACAGAGAGATAAAAAGTGAGAAATCACCCCCAGGAGGGAGGGCCACAGCGCAATCCGTTCTCTTCTCCTCTCGGGATCTTGGGCACGCACACACACGCGCCCAGCGTGAGTTTATGCCACCAGGTCAGGGATTCAAACTGCAGTCAACTACATGGGAGTTCAGCGACATAGTCATTACGCTAACTGCTGGTCCCAATAAAATAATTCTTTTTTTTTTTTTTGGAGGGATTTTCACTGTAGGGTGCGTGCGCTCGCCAGACAGACAGAGAGAGACATAGAGACAGAAAGCGAGAAATCACCCCCCAGGGGGGATGGTCACGCCGCAATCCCTTCTCCTCCATTCTCCTCTTGGGATCTTGGGCACGCACGCACACGCGCCCGGCGTGAGTTTTCAGCCACCGGGTCCGGGACACGAACCGAGGTCGACTACGTGGGAGTCCAGCGACATAGCCATTACGCTAACTGCTGGTTCCCAATAAAATAATTCTTTAAAATAAAATTGTATGTTATTGTGCACTCAGAATAAATAAAAATGATATCATTGTGTTGTGGTGTGTCCTGTCACTTTCTGATGACTATCTAATGGATGCTTTTCATATGGGCAGAATTACACTGCTTGAGTGTGATGTGTTAACTACCAAAAATTCACACTCTAGGGCACCACAACACACAAGACGTCTGCCTTTAAACTTAATCACTTAATGACCTACTCAGAGAATCGGACCTTGGTGAAGACTGTCTATGCATACACGTGTAAGATTTACTAATAGATGTGAGCTCCTATTCTGTGCAAAGTGGTACTGTCAAAATAAAGATGCAGCCCCTGTCATCAAGTCTGGTTGAGGATACAAAACTAATACACACCAAATAAAAACATATACATACTTTAATATATAATAGGTCAGGAGGTACTAAGTACCTAATAACTTTCAAGTACATAACATATTTATCATATTATATATGTACCCATTAGTATTAATTGATGTTTACCTTAAAACATGAAAGTCAAGACCTTTGGGGCTAGAGGTTAAAGTGGCTGGATCCCACATGGCAAATTGCACCGCTGAAGTCTGGGACACTGTGGATTGAAAAACATGATGGGGAGAGCCAGCAGGTGTTGTGGTTAGGGCTCTGAACTCCCATATGGGCAACTGCAGTTCGAGCTCTGGACCTGGCAGTTTGCCTTCTCACTTTTCTTCTTTCTCTCTCTCTCTGTTCAAATTAAAAAACTAAAATTAGTACGTTAAATTAAATAAATAATTCTTCTTTTCTCTTTCGCTCTCTCTGGTCAAACTAAAAAACTAAAATTGGTAAGTTAAATAAATAATTCTTCATAAAAAATAAAGAAAAGCACATTGGTTATGTGCCCATGCCCAAAGTCGGGAGGAGAGGAGACTGCAGTGTGCTAACTCCCCTGGGGGTGCTTTCTCACCTTCCCTTTCTCTGTCTCTCTCTAGCGAGCACACGAGTCCCATAGAAGAACATAAAAAGTTTTTAAGAATAAAAGACTTTGGAACCCACGCTTTCAGGGCAGACCTACCGGCATCACAAAACCTCCAGGAAAATGAAGCTTAATGTTCTCGCATCTTAACTTCCTGCGTGCAACGTGGCTAATAAATTAGCTACAGTCTTCCCCTGCGCCAACTTAGGAGACAACACGAGAACTTACATTTGAAGGCCAGCATCACGGGTGACGATGAATTCACATCCTTCCCCTCTCTTCTTTGGTTATGCGGGAAATTGTCGTGCTTCCTTTTCCTGAACCCTCCTGAGCCTTTCACAGAGACGAACAAGAGCGAGATGAGCACCTGCCACCACCAGGAGCCGGCAGAGCGCGGGCAAGCCCCTTCCCTTCCCGGGCCCGGATCCCCCCAGGGCCTCGCCTGAGGCTGCTCCGCGGGCTGACGTCCGCCCAGGAGCCCGGCCTCTCCCCACCCGTGCAGGTCTCCACGAGCGGGGCCGGTGGGGCAAGGACCCAACCAGGTGATGTAGGGAAGAGAGGCTAATCCGGAGCCGCGCCCCCGAGCTACAGGAGGCCCCTCAGGCTGAGACGCAAGATGGCACAAAAAACTGGAGGACTCCCGCCCCCGGGTAAATAACGCCCCGTGTGGGGGGCGCCACCTTCTTTGCTGCTCATGTCGTCACGGCCTGTGCCGACCAGCGGAGTCTGAAGGCCTCGGAGCGGTTAGAGTGAGCACGGTGGGGGCCGCGGACTTCACGGTCCCGGGAGAAAAGGCAGCGGAGGCGCCCTTTGCAGCGGGCCGACGTCGACGCACTAGCCGGAAGCGCGCGCCTGCAGCCTCCAGGCCTCTGCCTCCACCTCTCGCGCACTTCCGGTCTGCGCGCCTGCCTCGCCGCCGCTGGCTCCGCCCCCAGTGTGTCGGGGACCTCGCGCCGTCGCGCCTGCCTTCTGCTGTGCCTGAACACAGATCGGCTGTACTGGATCGCAGTATACGCCGCTAATTCTCCCATCTGGGAGTGAGGCGTGTGTGAGGGTAGAAAGCTGGCAAAAAACGAATGACTTTTGTGAGGTTTTTTTGTTTTTTTTTTCTCAAGGCACCTCTGGGGCACCCAGGCCGTCCCTGAGCGTGGAGCCGGTTCGCGCGCGGTGCACCTTGGGAGTTGTAGTTCACCCCGGAGTCTGCCCCGCGGGGTGCGCCGCCAGGCGAGTGGGGAGGAGCGGCGCCTCCAGCCTCTGAAAAAGTGGGAAGAAGTATTTTCAGGATCCTGGCGGAGGCAGCAGTCGGGAGTGTTTTGCTCTTGTTTTTTTTTTCTGTTTGGGGGGGGAAGGAGTTAGAGACAGGCTTTTGTTGACAGGGTGAAGCTGGGAGGTTTGGTTTGGTTTTTACTTATCTTTTTTGTTTTTCTAATTTGTTGTAGGGCCCGTGCCAGAGAGAGGGAGAGCGAGAGCGCAAGCCGCCGGGTCCAGGACTGGAACCCTAGTCGGCCACGTGGGAGTCCAGCGCTTCAATCCCACGCCACCTGCCGGCTCCGGAGCCTGGAGTTGTAACGTTGGGCCCGGCGCTGATCCGAGCTTTATTTTTTTTCTTTAAGAGAGATTCTTGCTATAGGGCGTGTGCGCTCGCTGGAGAGACAGAGACCGAAAGTGAGAATTCGCCTCTCCCTTTGGGGATAGCCTCGCCGACGTCGCAATCCCTTCTCCGTTCTCTTCTCGGGACCTTGAGTTTTAAGCCACCGGGTCCAGCACTCGAACCGCTGCGGGCCACGAAAGCGTTCAGCCACGCCACCGTCTACTGGGCCAGCTTTAAATGGTCGGAATGGGCGGGAGACCCCGGTGGCGTTGGCAGTGGCGGTGGCGGGCCAGTGCAGCATTGCCTCTGACGACGATGGCCGCCCTTCCGCCGCCTCCTCTCTCAAGAGCCAGGCTGCCTTGTAAACGCTGTCTTAGTTCAATGCCCTTCTCCCGCAATGGGAGAGAGAGGAAGTGGCAATGACTGCGGTGCCGGGGTATGGGGCGCCTTCTAAATGTTTTAGGCTGGCCTTGCCTATCTGGTTAGACTTAGTGCCTCCCCTACTGGCCCTAGTATTTTTTTAGGTCAATGCTGGACCCCTCAGAAGCTTTGGAGAATGTTTGTTAAAGATTCCCTCACCCAGCAGGTGGCATGGTGGTAGAGACACTGGACTCCCATATGGTCGAAGGCGTTGGAGTCCTGGACCAGAACTTGCTTTCTCAGTATCTCTCTCTCTCTCTCTCTCTCTCTCTCTCTCTCTCTGGTCAGATTGAAGAGTAATTATAATAAATAAAATTAAACGAATAATTAAAAAAAAAAAAAAGATTGACTTCATCCAGCCCCAGCCTGTGACCTAATGGTTAAGATGGCTGGATCCCCCCATGGTGGAGGACGCGGTTTTAGTCCCAAGACTGTGGCCTGACAAAGGCGCTGAGCATGTGTATGTGTCCAAAATCCCCAAAGGAGAATGGAGGGGAGGGGACTGTGGCATGACCATGCCCCACCGGGGGTGCTTTCGCTCCTTCCCTCTCTATGAAGAGTATGCCACCCTCTGGAAGAAAAACAATCCTCATCGTCGCGACGGGGACTAAGTGGTGATTGTGCACACCGAAAGATGATTTAGCCAATCAGTGGCCTCGGTCTGCCTAGAAGGGAGACACAGTGCGTTTAAGAAAACTTCTCTGGAGCCTCTGTTGTAGACACGTATGGTGCACAGTCTTCCCTCCTTGTTAATTTAGGAACCAAGGGACAGTAACGAAGCTGCCAGTCTAGAATAGGGCAGCAAGTGCAAGGCTGTGGCGGGCGTGTCATAGAACATCTGCCCTGCCTAACGTCCAAGGTGTCTTTGAGCACTAAAGCAGGGAAGGAGCTGCTACCTGTCACACCTTTTCAGATCCATGAATATCTGAATTGATCATCTATATTCCTTGTGGATAAAGTAGGTTCCTGGGACCTGGTTTTGTGAATGTTGGACAAATAACAGTTCGGGTGACATCTGCCCCTCCATCATTGCCCCCTTCTCTTTGATTAGAGACTTAACCATGGGAAAAAGAAAGAAAAAAAAAGATAACCGATACAGATGTAATTGTTTCAATATTATTCCCTCTAGATTCATGAAAGTCAGTAATTAAAAACATTTTTAGAATCAATGCTTATTTACTAAAGTCTTGAAAAAGAGATTTTCCTAAACTTAGTTCCCAGGACCTCAACTTTTCAAAACCTGAATCATATTTCTTTTCCTTTTTTTTTTTTTAAGTTTTGCTGTAGGGGTTGTACACTTGCTGGATAGAGATAGAAAGTGAGAAATCACCCCCCCGGGGGGGTTAGATAGGCACACCACAATCCCACAATCTCTTCTCCACTCTGCTCTCAGTATTTTGGGCATGCGCGCACACGTCTGGTGCATCCAGGACTAGAACTGTGCAGTCGGCCACGTGGGATCTAGCTGCCCAGCCACTGGCCACCAGCGGCCCCATGTTTGTCTTCTTTCTCCAGACACTCGCCCCAGTCCAACAACAGCTGTAGCACCTAAACCGCTTCCTCTGCTTCCGATGAACGTGATGACGAGGACACTAATTTTCATAACCTGCCATGACTTCTCAGAGGACTTAACAGAGGAGACTCCCAGGAGCGTTTCCTCAGCACTGTTTGCGTACGCAGTTACCCCAGCCTTCCCACACATCCCAGCCATACCTACTCCATCAAGAAACCGCTTTCGGCCACTGGCAACATGCGCGTCACCCCGTAGGTACCTGTCTCCTTGTTTCATTGCTTCAGATACAACACTTAGTTCTGGTACTTGGAAAAACAGTTCTTTGTTTGTTTTCAAAGAACCGTCAACACTCCAAGTCAGAAGCGGAAGAGGATGGTTTCTATAAGCTCTTGCCTCTGTAATGGTAGTCTAGCCTCTTCCTACTGTACTCTAGTCGTCCATTAGACTCAGTAAAGTGCTAAACCTTTGAAACGCACCAGTCATCCCTCGTTTTATGTATCCTTTACAGGAGAAGAATCACATGTCAAAATAGATTCAGATGCTGCAGAACGTTACATCATCAGATAAGACAAGTATGTACAGGCCCTCAGGAGGTCATCTGTTCCCGCATTTTCCTTGTTATACAGTTACTACATAGACCCTGGGTGGGGTGGGTCATGGAGCATTATCAGAAACTTAAGGAACTTTTTAAAAACACCATAATGAGTCGTGCTGTATAAGAGCGTTTTGGTCGATGGTGGAGCACGCATACCATAATGGTCCCGTGAGAGTATGATGGGTGTACCATATAGCGAAGGTGTACACACTCCGACAGTCACACGACAAGACTCCTAAAGCCACGTTGCTCATGTCCCTGTAGTTGAGTGACACATGACTACAAGATACCTGTGGAGTCCAAAGCAGTGTCGTGAAACATGCACGTACCAAATCAGATTGCTCGTCCAAGCGGTACTAGGACAGTAGAAAAATATGCTCCCATTCTCCTACAATACAAGAGAGAAAAGCCAGTGTTTGAGGAGCGAAGAGTGACGGGCAAGACTACAGACATGCCACTTCACACCCGCTAGGATCGCTACGGTAATGATGAAACAGTAATGGATGATGAGGACAGGAAGAAATGGGAACCCCTACTCATTGCTGACGCGAGGCAGAGCTGTGTGGCCGTGTGGAAGACAGTCCGGCAGCCCTCCGGAAGTTCAATGGGAGCGGCGCACAATGCAGCAATTCCACAGCGAGCGGTATCCCTCAAGCACAAATGTGAGCACCCCTCACAATAACGAGAAAGCGGAAACCAGAGTCCCTCGACACGTAACTGGATAAAATGGCATCGCCATTTGTCTTTCTCTGGCAAAACTCGTGTGAAAAAATAATTCTTAAAAAAAATTTGTTTAAAGGAGAGTGATGGGAAACATGCCTTTCAACTCATATATATTAATATATGGATGTGGATATAGAAAGATTTTAATGTTACTATTAGGGGAAAGCATCAAACAATATGACTTGGTGTATTCTTAATAATTTATTGATACAATAAAAGTATGGAAAGTACCTTAATTTCACAGGTTTGACATTACTTCCGCAAATATTGACTCATCTGATACATTTTTGCACAGAAGAACAGAAACATACATGGCCTCTGACAACTCCACATTTCTATGCCTAGTTTATGCAATGTGGTGAGACACTGGCAAGAAAAGTGCCTATGTAGGTTTCTCACTTTTCCTCTCTCGTTCTCTCATAAAAAAAATAATAATAATAAATAAAGTAGAAATAATGTATAGAGGGACCAGCAGGTGGCATGTTTAGGCGCTGGACATTCCCACATGGCCGGCCATGGTTCAAGTCCTGGACCTGGTGGCTTGCTTTCTCACTTTCCCTCTCTTTCTGTGTCCCTCTCTGGTCAAATTAAAGTAAATGAACTCATAAATAAAATTAAATAAATATTTTTAAAAGAAATAACATATAGAAAACAATAGATGAGTAGTGTTGGCAGGGTCTCAGCAGAGAGCCACCCTCCTGTCCCGGCCTCCCAGTTTGATTTTCAACTCTGAGCCCTTAAGCGCTCAGCTGGCTCAGTCGGTGGCCTGAGACTTGCATTTAGAGCGGCCTGTCCGGATGACTCCGGATGACTGCTGGCAGAATCCAGGCGGCCTGTGCCGATCCATGCTGTTTTCTCCACTTAGCTCCGTGGGTAAGAAAGTGCCAAAGCCCAGGATCTACTTTGTCTTCCTCTCGGTCCCTTTGATGTAATGGAGGAGACGAGCCTCCTGGCGGAGAGCCCCAGGGCCCACAGAGGCACAGGCCACTGCCCTGCTTCCCGCCACACACTGGGAACTCCCTAACCGAGGGTTTGCTCTTAGTC